TTTAGCACTCTTTTTCATGATATCCACTGCATCGTCGTAAGAAACATTCTTATCTTCTTGGATAAGTCGTGCAGCTATCTCCGGAACAAGAATCTGCTGAACAAACTGAAGTGGTGGCATCGGGGCTGTATTTGCTGCTGTCAGGTGGTTCGATTTCAATAGTTCTTTCGTCAAACAATCCATAATGATTTGCATTCCACGGGGTCTATATAACCAGGCTGTTTTAAACAATGATTTAGTAAGTTATTTTATGAGTGATAGCTTTGTACTTACTAAAGATTTTTCAGCCCTTACCATTCGTACGAATATAGATCGTACAACACTTCGGCTATATTGGCTGTAGAATTCGGTTTCTATCGATTTGAATGTGCTTTCGGTTTTGCCGACTATGATATCTTGTATAACTGGTACATAATTCATTACATGTAAAGGCAAGGTCACAAAATCAATATGAGCTAGGTAACCTTGGGCGATTCCTTCTGGTCTGATCAACATTTCTTTCCTATGAATGCTGCAGAAGTTGTATTGCTCAGTAAAGCGAACTGGTCTAGGTTTAATCTGTGCTTCATCGAAGCAGCGGCAACGAGACGTTGAAAGTTCTTTAATGCGGCGTTCGTCTTATTTCTTATGCTTCTCTTCTTTTTATATATATTCATTGTACTGCTTCTGTATAGCAGGAGGTAACGGTAATAGCAGGTGTATTTGACAATGGGGACATGCTATTGCACCATGATCTAGATAGTATAACAGATGTGTTTAGAGTTACTAGAATACAAAGATACAGAGCGGCAAGTTATAGGTACCATGATGATCGCCCCACATATTAATATCGCAATCAGATTCATCTAAAATCAGAATGGGCGACGCTTGTCTTCTTTTTTCTATGCTGATTGCTGTTGAATCTTGATCCACTGTTTTTTTGATATGTAGGTACCTCCAAAACGTTTTGTGATCGTGACCTAGGTTGATCTCGTTCTATTGCTGCTTATGTCGCTGTGATATCGGGGGCCATTGCATTTTAACAGATGATCGCAGCAAGACCGGCTCCTAATGGTTCCCATTCATGAAATGCATAACGAACGGCAGGAGACTATATCGTTTGCCCGAAAGTACAGAGTATGGCAATGTCAGCAACGGCGGATGATATTTCGCCCATGGACCAGATGTATAGCAAGCAATCAGCCGCTCCAAAGCATTGGCTACCAACTGAATATCCACGCTTCCGTCAAACCAGTACTCCTTGGGACAGTCGGCCTCAATATCACCAAAGGCGACACCATAAGACATCCTTTTGACCAGTTTTTCATATTCCGTCTGGCTGCCACCACAGATGTAAGACAAACAAATGCTTTTTCCCTTAGCCACCACGTACTCATGCATTCTTTTTTTGATGTCGGCGTATTTATCTTGATTGCTTTTATATTTGAGATATGACAAAGTTCTGAACCCACACCATCCGTCCGGATTTATCTCGACCGAGGACTTCCTGCTATTAGTTATCTAGCCACTTACAATCTATTGGCTGTAATATGGATTGTAAAATTACTATGGTTGAGATAACCCTATATGGTCGAATTAATTAATTATTAATTTATAAGAAATATAATAAAATTGGATTTTTTTATTGTAATGGTAGCCTCATACGAGAAAAAATTAAAGCGAACAGAGAAGTATTGCATATAGTAATTCATATGAAATTAAGAATATTATAGGGCATATATATACTAATAATAAGTATATATTGAGGTTAAGTAGGTTAGATATAATGTAAAGAATAATAGCTAGTTAATAAGTAATAAATTTTATCATTGAAAATGTTATACGAATATATGGTCACACAGGTATTCCACTCTAAATTAATTTATTACTTATTTTGCTCTTTAAAGAATCTCATATTGAAACTAATTTTATTAACCTTTCTACTATCTGCCCAATTATATTTATGCTTTGTATATTATTCATTTATATCAATTTGTTCATTTTTGACTATGGTTTCATTTGGTATATCTTTATTATCTGATATAGTGTGTTTTATAGCCTTATGCTTTTTAAAATAATCCTTTGGCTGTATATCTTTTACTATTTGCTTACCCTTTTGTTTATTTTTGTTGTGTCTCCTTTTCTTTTTACGTTTTGGTGTACTATTTAGTGTGCTACATATACTGCTCTGTTCTGAATCAGATGTACTAACATCTATATACTTATGTTTTTCTGTATCTTCAGGTGGGTTATCCCAGTCAATATTATCTGTTATAATCTCATCACATTTTATATCATTTATTACTTCTAACCAGGGTTTACAATCTGATGGTAGTAATGCTTTTACAGTCGACCATCCTTTATTATTTTGTTGAGACGGTTTATGTTATTTATTGTTCTGTGTATTATTACTATTATATTTTTCTTCTTGTTCTTTCATATATTCTTTTATATCAGCTAATTCATGTAGTTCCTCTACTGTTTTATCCATCGGTATATATTTTTTAATATCATCTTGACCACTATTATGTGCATATCGGATAAATGTATGCTGATCTTGGTATTCGTTTTCGAATTCATTTTTGTATAAGTCCTCGTACATATCCATGTTTTCATAATACATGAATTTACTTTCATAATCCTTCACTTTCATTGTATATGGATTCCATATTATATGACCTTTATGGTTCTTATCAACATAAATAATATATAAACGATTGAGTGTTGGCTCTAACTCATATACTGATTTATTTTTGTATAACATATGCAGCATATAGTTACTATTCAGTATTATTGGCATGTTTTTCTTTTTAGTTATTGACTTTGTGAATTTGCTATTAAGTTTTAAACGTGTTCCTTCTAACATTTGGTTTAAAAATGTTAATTTGAAATCAGAACCAGTTTCCTCATTATACATAAAATCATAATCATCATCTTTATAATCTGACCAATCATTGTCTTTACTCATTAGATATGCCCTGTGTCCACCTTGTTCTAACATATCAATGTTATATGTTTTTCCAACATTTGATGGACCAACAATCCAGTATTGTGGTATTTTGTTTTTACCACTAAACATAGTTTCAATACCAAACATAGACCACATATACAACTCATTTCTAGGAGTATTTTCCATATCAGCATCATGAAAATAGCTATTAAGATTAGATTTTACTGTATCATATTTCCATAGTAATTCTGGATATATTTCTGTTGCCTTTCTCATAGTAAGTTGTTTATTAATTAATTGATAACCAAGTAATTGTTGATGCATTTTTCTAGTTTTAATTTCGTAGTTTGGGTCCATATTATAAGCAATATAATTATTTCCTTTAATGCAGTAACTGATAGATTTTTGTGGATTACCACCTGGTTTAATATTTGGAGTGATACCATCAATAGTGAAAAACTTACGTACGGTTTTAGTATCAAATCGTTCATTTAATTGTATCCATATATGTACATGTTTTTCGCCTGTTTCAGGTGCTATTTCATCATATGCAATTGCTTTTTCAATTTTATAACCAATACGGTCATGTTTAGTAAACCATTCTAATATCTGTTCTTTTGTTAAATAGAAATTTTTACAAATATATGTGAATAAGCCCTTAGTGTTTTGAAAGCGGAATTCTTTTTCACCCTATGAGGTAGCCGCACTGGAAGTGTTATCATTTAACATTGCATCAGAAAATTGAGGATTTGAGGATTTGAGGAATTTTGCAAAAGCCCTAATCCGTCCCATTATTGCAGTACGGTTCTCGCTCCGTACTTCTTTTGTTATATTAGCCTTTTTGAGGTCCTTTTCAAGTTCGACTCTCAGCTGGTCAGCAATGGTTTTTTCACTAACATCTTGATGATGTTCAGTAAGATGCTTTGCTCTTTCTATTAAGAGCGTCAATGTTATTCCTAAAATAGGAACAAATTCAGCCATAATGGCAATAAATGTGAGGAGGTTCATTTGGTCCATGTTGTATTTTTGTTGGGGGTAGTTTTGTTGGAGTGCTAAAAAATATAACAAATATATTTTGCTTTATATTCTGTGGTGTTATTTTTATATTAAAAAAAAAATTCAATTTTTATTCTTTTTCAAAAATTTAAATGTATGCATGCCAAGACATTCGTGCATGAATTATTTCAATGAAAATTAGATTGGCTATCCTGACATATTTCAGCTAATTAGTCATTTAGGGTTACTAGACTGCATTAAAATCATCATAACCATAGAGGGTCCTCTGAATTTTTAAAATTGGCTTCCTGCTATTAGTTGTCTAACCAATTATAATCTACTAGCTGTAATTAGGGATCCGCACGGTTCGGTTCGGTTCGGTTCTTAAAGGGAACCGAACCGAACCGTCTAAAGCAAGAACCGAACCGACTAGAACCGACGAGAACCGTAGAACCGAAGAATCGAACCGAAGAACCGAACCCATCATGTATATAAAAAAGGCAAGATTCGGTATCTTTAAATGAAAGCTGATGTGTGTGTTCAAATGTCGCGGTATACTTGAATACTGCAGTAAAAAAGAATAATTTATTATTGTACATTGAACAGCGATCTCAAAATGAATAAGAGAAACAGAATGTAAACATTCTCATACGATGTGGGTCATTGCATGGTTAAAAGATTGAAGCACAGTTTTTACAAAAAAAAGTGGAGCTTATAGTACTTACTTAGAGCGACTTAGTATTACTAGTACAATATGTTATCGTAACATTGGAGGGATTGAACCACAACCGGCAGTACAGCTGCTGTGTCTCTACGTGTGTATAGTGTATAGTGTCTCATAAAAGGCAAAGGGTGAATGGGTAAGATAATTCTGTTATGAGCCCCAGAATGCGCAATCTCAAACGGAATGCACAAACTTGATAAAACTGATCGAGAAGCCATGATAAATCTAGTTAAGTAGTACGTCATGGAGAAAAATGCATTGTGGGTAGCAAAGTAGAGGAACAAGTAATGATGTGCGTCATGGGCGGAGAAAGCAAGCTGCCGTCAGAAGAAGTGTTTTTTTTACTATTTTTTACTCCCTTCTGCTTTTGCAGGTTTTGTTAAGTTTTTCAATAAAGTATGGCTTGCAAATACACTACTTCGTGGTCTTTTCGGAATAACATTGTTCGTAACTTCCATTATAGCCTACTTTATACTAATTACCAAAATCGCTGATTGCAATCTTCTGCCTCTCGGTTCTTCGGTTCTACTTATACAGAACCGGTTCGGTTCCGGTTCGGTTCTTGACAGGAACCGAACCGTATTTTCTCGGTTTCGGTTCGGTTCGGTTCCGGTTCTACGGTTCTGATACGGATCCCTAGCTGTAATATAGATAATAAAATTGCTATGATCGGTATAACCATTAGTGGCCGAATTATTTATTTATTTACAATAAAAATAATAAAAATTGAATTTTTTTATTTATATTGGTAGCCTCCCATGAGAAAAAAAAGAGCAATCGTTAAAAGTACATAACAACAAATAAAAATGAACACAACACAACACATTGAACAACTCGATATTGAAATTAAAAATTTAATTGATAATAAATGGACTTTTCTTGATAAATCTTGGCCTGAAATGCAACATAGATTTAATCATAGAACAGCTATTAAAGATATGAAGAATAATACAATAAATGATATAAAGGATGTATTACTTAATAGATTTGGATTTATACCTGTATTTTATTTTCTTACAGTTTTATATGGAAATATTGAATATCCAGGGCCATATCGCGAGATTGAAAAAGGACTTGCATTATTATATCATATAGTATCAGGTGTATCAGGAAAGGATATGCATACTGTTATGCCATATGCAACGTTTTATGATTTATATAAGCGGTTCTGGATTACTAACTATAATGAATTGAATAAAAAGGTAAAACAAGATCTAGATAGTATGTTCTCATCGCCACGTATTCGCATTCTATCAGCAATAATAAACAATCCAGATGGTTTTAAGAATGTTACACTATTTATTGATGGACATGATAGTAAAATAAAGTATTATAAACTAAATGAGTCACATTCACAATTATATTCATATAAATTAAAAGGGCCAGCTGTACGTACACAAGTTATACAGGATATGAATGAAATAATTACACATGTTTCAGTATCTGAAAAATGTGCTATCAGAAATGATGGTACTATGTTTATTAATATGAAATTATATAAAAAAATAAGTGAGGCAGATTGTTTAGGGATGGATGGTGGATATAATTTATTTATACAAAAGTTCAAAGATAATGCGACAGATGCTGGATATAGTTTTTATGATCGTAATTTTTTACATCCCATAAGAAAAGAACCAGGACAAAAGTTAACAATCAATGAGACATACTTTAATAACAAGTTTGGATCATTTCATTCAGCAATAGAAGCATAGTTTTCTATGTTAGGCTCTAAATTTGAACGATTTAATAATAATCATGCAGCATTGCAAGTATCTGATATAAGATATTATAATATTCAGTTTCATGTTGCTTGTATTCTTACTAATATATGGCGATTTGTAAATAAGTATAATATAGAGGTACAACTACATCATAAATTATGGTATGGAAAAGACTTTGAATTCCCAAGTAAGAAAAACAAACTTGACTTAGTATTTTCAAATGAGCAAAAAGTAAATACTGAATATAACGAAATGGTTGACATGCAGCAGAAATTTCTACAGCTTAATATTAATCAATCAATAGATATGGCTATAGATAGTAAGGAAGAAACTGAAAATAATACTTCTAAACGCAAGAGAAAAAATCAAAGAGAACAGAGAAATAGAGAACATGGTAATTCATATGAAATTGAGAAGATTGTAGGACATGTGTATACTGATAACAAGTACATATTTGAGGTTAAGTGGGTTGGATATAGTGTAAAGGATAATAGCTGGTTAACAGTTAATAAGTTTAATTCCCAGGAAATGCTACATGAATATATGGCCACACATGGTATTCAGCTCTAAATTAATTTCTTATTTATTTGCTTATTAAAAAATCTCATATTGAAACTGATCGCATCAACATTTCGTTTACTTGCCCAATTATATTTATGTTTTATGCATTCATTAGTTATACTTGTACTTATATTAGTACCTGTTGATTTATTTTTGACGTCAGTTTCTTTTGTTATATCTATATCATCTATTATAGCCTGTTTTATATCCTTATGCTTTTTAAAATATTCTTTTGGGTTTATTTCTTCTACTACTTTCTTGTTTCTCCATTTATTTTTATTTTGTCTTTTTTTCTTTTTACGTTTTGGTATAGTATTAGTTATATCACAGTCACTGCTTTGCTCTGATTCAGATGTACTGACATCTATATATTTATGTTTCTCTGTATCTTGTGGTGGGTTTTCCCAATCGATGTTATCAGTTATAACTTCATCACATTTTATATTATTTAATACATCCTCCCAATGTCTACAATCTTCTGGTAGGGGTGCCTTTACATTTAACCATCCTCTGTTTACTTGGTGAGCTGGTTCATATTGATTGTTACTCTGTATATTGTTACTATTGTATTTTTCCTTTTCATTTTTCATATATTCTTCTGTATCAGCTAGTTCTTGTAGTTCTTCTACAGTTTTATTCATTAGCTGGTATTTTTTTATCCTATCTTCACCACTATTATTTACATATCGGATAAATGTATATTGATCTTGATATTCATTTTCAAATTCCTCTTTATATAGTTCCTCATACATATCTATATTTTCATAATACATGAACTTATCTTCATAATCCTTAGCAGTCATTGTATAAGGATTCCATATAATATGACCTTTGCGATTCTTATCAACATAAATTATATATAAACGGTTGAGTGTTGGCTCTAATTCATATACTGATTTATTTTTATAAAGCATATGAGGCATATAATTACTGTTTAATAGTATTGGCATATTCTTTTTTTTAGTAATTGATTTAGTAAACTTACCATTAAGTTTTAGCCGTGTTCCTTCTAACATTTGGTTTAAGAATGTTAGTTTGAAATCAGAACCAGTTTCTTCATTATACATAAAGTCATAATCATCATCTTTATAATCTGACCAATCATTTTCTTTACTCATTAGATATGCCCTATGTCCACCTTGTTCTAACATATCAATATTATATGTTTTTCCAACATTTGATGGACCTACGATCCAGTATTGTGGTATCTTATTTTTACCACTAAACATTGTTTCAATACTAAACATTGACCACATGTATAACTGATTTCTAGGGGTATTTTCCATGTCGGCATCATGGAAATAGCTATTAAGATTAGACTTTACTGTATCATATTTCCATAATAATTCTGGATATATTTCTGTTGCCTTTCTCATAGTAAGTTGCTTATTAATTAATTGGTAGCCAAG